AGCCTTTTCTCAGTTTGAGTCATGTTTTTTGTTTCTAGTGACCTTGCCCTCGTTCCGGTCTTGTTTATTTGACTGGGTATACTCTCACCGTCTTTTCACTGTTAACATCTTTTCGTTAGTCTTCACCACTCGTTTGGTTTGTTGATATTTTGTGAACACTTAAACAAGTGCACGTGCAGCCTGCGTCATGTAGTTTACTACAAGTCAGTTGTATGTCGGATGGCTCAATGTGAGCTGCTTACCCACACTAGACAATGATATTGAAAATGTAGAGCACGAGAGTAACTAGAGAGACACGATCACAGGAAACAACAGACCTCATCTCAAGTACTATTATCTCAATTAGGAAAATTATTATTGATCTGAGAGAGGCGCTCTAAGTCTCAATTTGTGATTTATAATTTATAATTTATAATTCTCGAGACACAGTTTTCACTTGAATTTTTCTCTCACGTTGCAGCCGCCAGGAAAAACCCTATCACCACAGCGAAGTTCACTAGCTACCCAAGCCTAGCAATATTATGTCACCCAGTCTATACAGGGATAGTATATACGTTGAGCGTATAAACAATTATAGCTTGTCTTTAATATTTTTAGGTACTATCGAGCCTTATTACGCGTCACATGAGTTTTAATCAAGACAGAAATTAACTAATAAGTATTGGCATCTCGAAGATTCATAATAGCCTGGTTCGAACCAGTCGCTCATCCATCAAGACAAGCCGCCAGTAAAGGAACAGTTTTTGCATGACTTTGAAGGCTCGGCATAGTATGCGCTGCTAGCAGCGTAAGTTATAGTACCACAAGCTATAGATATTGAGTTCAATCTTTCGCACCCAAAGTTATGGTGATAAGAGCTTCAACGAATACATACGAACACAATGTTTCTAGTAGGCCAGGCGAATTTTATCTACTTGACCTATTAGGACGAGACGATAACGAACATCAAAGAGTGCTATACATTAGAACAGCTGAAGTAAAACTTTAGAATCGAAATACTTCCACGCCAATGGTCTACGGATTTGAAGTCTGCACCCGGGGTTCTCTATACGTGGTGCAAAGTTACGATAGAAAAATATCCATACAACCGTGTATAAACATCTAGCAAATATACTATAAAGTATAACAGCTGAAGCAGAGATCAAATGATATTGTTGATAATTTTAATCGAATCCTTGTCGTGTTCACAGGTAAAAACACGATCACTTTAAGTTGAACTATATCATGCAGTAAATCGTGTTCAGCATAGAGAGCAGCACTTTTCGAGATATGATATAGAGTACTGGACGAGTCTCCTGCCAAGAGTTCATGCTTGTTTAAATATTCTCACGAGCCTTTTAATATGATGCAAGGCGAGCCACCGAGGTTCAAAACGGCAAGTGATTATCATCTGCCTGCTAGGTCAGTGGTCAGGGTTGTGGAGTTGATAGACGATCAAAAGATGAATACATTGGGAAAAATAATTGGCTTGACGAGATTTGAACTCGCGCGGCGAGACGCCACTGCATTTCGAGTGCAGCTCCATAACCACTCGGACACAAACCAGGTTATACTTCTTTTATGAGATAACATTTTTATTGTTGTAAATATTAAAGATTGTAGCAATTGGGGTTGTCACGTTGACTCCTGTCAGTGTAAATATATGACATTTTTATTTGCATTGGTCGTAAAAAACCAGACAAAACCGTGGTACTCATTAATCTAATTCCAATCAGGAGTGTGAGAAGCCTGGTATCATAGGTGTGTGGATCCGAAGCTATGCCACGTTCTAAGCGTAGTTCGAACGAGACCTGCGTATCCAAAACGTAAGTGGTGTGTTGTAACCCGCGCAACACTATTCAAGGACAATTAAAACGCACACACTGCGCCACACTAGGTCACATGTTTAGTTTGGTGTACTGATACAAACTGCGCGTCTATGTATAGTCACCGACACTTTGGAAACCGAGACTGCACGAATGTACAAAATTATCTATACATGACCACGAACCACTTGCAGAGCACAAAGCCATTACGCAATGTGTTCAATTTTGTATAGAACACACGACGTTCATTAGGTATGCACACACACGGACTTTGATGTACAACTATTTATACTTTAGTGCGTGTTAGGATTCGTAGATATATATATGCAATATGAGTATGTACACCCACACAACCACATGCATGCATATACATACACCCATGAATAT